ACAGGGCTGGTACGGCACAGGGCTGGCACAGCATGGCATGAGGCTGGCACAGCATGGCACAGCATGGTACAGGGCTGGTATGGCACAGGGCTGGCACAGCATGGCATGAGGCTGGCACAGCATGGCACAGGGTTAGCACAGAAGGGCATGGCATGTCCTAGTACAGCATAGCACAGGGTTGGCACAGCACAGGGCTGGCATGGAAGGGCATGGCATGGCATAGCATGGCACAGGGCTGGTATGGCACAGGGATGGCACAGCATGGCATGAGGCTGGCATGGCATGGCACAAAGCTGGCATGGAAGGGCATGGCATGGACTGGCACAGCATGGCACAGGGCTGGCACAGCACAGGCCTGGCACAGCAGGGCACAGCATGGCATGGGGCTGGCACAGCATGGCATGGGGCTGGCATGGCACAGCACAGGGCTGGCACAGCATGGCACAGGGTTGGCATGGCACAGCAAAGTCTGGGACTGGCACAGTCTGCCTGCCTCGGTATAGCCCAGCATGGCAGGGTCTGGCACAGCACAGCATGGCACAGCATGGCATGGAGCTGGCACAGCATGACATGGGGCTGGCACAGTCTGCCTGGCTCAACAAAGCCCAGTATGGCAGGGTTTGGCTTGCCATGAAGCTGGCACTGGCCTGGTACAATCTGCCTGGCTTGGCACAGCATGGCACAGGGCTGGAACAGCCTGACACAGCATGGCACAGCACAAGATGGCACACCATGGGACTGGCACAGTCTTCCTGGCTTGGTACAGCCCAGCACAGCAGGGTCTGGCATGGCACAGCATGGCACAGCTAAGAATGGCCTGGGGCTGGCACAGCCCTGCACAGAATGGCACAAAGCTGGCACAGAAGGGCCCACATCTTGTCCCACATCTGGCATGGCACAGCATGGTCCTTACGGCCTGGCACTGCCCAGTATGGTCCAGCATGGGATGGCACAGCCCAGTTTGGCGTGGCATGGTCCAGCATGGCACAGCCTGGCCTGGTTTGGCATGGCACGGCACAGCCCAGTACATCCCAGTCCTGCTGTGGTGTGGCAAAGCCCGGCCCGGCACGGTGTGTACCCCCACCCAGGAGGGCAGGAGGTGCCAGGGGACCCTCTGTGCCCCCCAGCCCGGCCATGCCCACGCCGGTGGGACCGAGAGGGTCCTGGCAGCGCCGTCCTGGCGCAGGGACACTCCTGCCACCACCCACCGCCCTCTGGCCCCGGGGAAAAGCCACACAAGGGGACGCTTTCTGCGGGGACAAGGGGACTCTGTGCCCGGCCCTCGGTGCCACCCGGCTCCACCGCCCCGGGGTCACCCGCCCCGTCATGCGCCTGCCCCGGTGGCACCGCGCGCTCCGGCATCACTGCCGCTTTGTTCCGCGCCGCCACCGCAGGGGACAAGCTGTGCCGGGGATGGGCGTTAAGGAGCCGGGTTTTTGGGGACACGAGGGTGCACACACACACACACACCACACACACACACACATGTGCACGCTCCCCAACGACCCCAATAACCCCAACCTCGGAGCAGCCGCTGGGAATTCACGCTCGGTTTCGTGCAGGGGATTAAAAAACAGGCCGTGAAGTTCCAAATAAAAAAATAAAAATAAAAATAAAAATAAAATTAAAAAATAAAATAAAATAAATAAAATAAAAATAAAATAAAATAATAAAATAAAATAAAATAAAATAAAATAACTCAGTTGCAAAACCATAGAAGTGAGGGGCAAGATAAAATTCTGGGGCAATTTTCAGGATCTTGATTTTTGCCTTTGAATTTGACATAGACCAAAAAAACAATGAAAAATGGAGCAGGGGCTTATGTTACTTTGCTAAGGAAGTTATCTGATGTTATCTTTAGTAATCCTAAGAAAATCAAAGTTGATTTCATTTAGCTATTGTTTGTTGCAAGGTTTATGAAATAATATAATTCATCTCTAGACAATAACTAATTATTACTGATTACTAAGAAATAAGTCAACAAAGATATTTTCCTGTTTACATTCTTATCAGACTGTATCAAGACCATCTGTATTTTCAAGTCCTTTATCCCAAGGGATAAATAATTTGTGTTGTTCATTGAGTATACACATGCAAACATGTCATTTGGATTTGATGCACATTTACGAAGCAGAAGCTAGAGAACTTAAATGGGAAAACAAGCATTAATATACAGGAAGAAAAGCTTAAACATGCAGTCACAGCAGATAGAAAAGTAAATACTTCAGTGAAATGATTCTGCGAAAGTATTGTACTGATTGTACTGCATCCGTGTCTGTATTTGGAAACTGTTCTGGGTGTTATCATTTCTATTTGCTGCTGATAATTCTGCAGACGCCCACCCCAGGAGCGTGGGGGGGTTTGTGCGTGTGTGCGTTCATGCGAGAGATCTGCTCTGCTCACAGTGGCCACAAATTGTCCAAGCTGCAGAATTCAAATCTGGATCTGGGAAGGGAATGAACAGCTATATAAACTGGACACTGAAAATTTTAGAGCATGCTTATGCTTAAAGACTCAAAGCCGATAAATGGCAATATGCTTGCTTTCTGTGCCCCCCACTGTCATCAGCAAACAGACTGGCCTCACTTCTTTCAGTCTCCGCTCCTTCAGCCACTGCTCTTTGCTGCACCTTTTCCCAAAACTGGAAGGATTTTGTCCTTCCCAGCAGGCTGAGATTCCCAAACTCCGAGCTCATTTCCTCTCCGCCGCTATTTTCACATCCCGCCCTTGTGCCTTTGCTCTCACATATTGCTGGAATGATGGTGGTAGTGATGTGAGTACTTTCTAGTGCAGCTCTGGGGTTTTTTTTTCCCCCCCCCCCTCCATCCCCATCAGCTACGTGAACGGGAGGCAGTGCCAGCGTTTCGAGGTGGGCACGAGGACAACGTACCCCCTGAGCCATCGCCGAGTCTACGTCCTCACCAACGCCACGGCCTGGGTGGAGGGACGCTGGGGGGGTCACCTCCACCGGACCCCCAACCTCACGCTGATCCTCAACGAGGCCGGTAAGTGCCCGTAGGGCCAGGAGGGGCACCGGCCCCCGGTGCCAGTCACCACAAGACCACTTCATTTTGACAGTGAAGCCCGACCCACCCGTCACTGGGCTGCCCTTCACCAAGACCGGTGGCCAACTGTGGCTACGGGTGCCATGGCCAACGTGCCACCGTGGGCGCTGGCCACCACAGCGGGAGGCTCGCTTCCGGAGGACGGGTGATGGCAACTGGACACAGGTAAAAATGTCATTTTTTCGGAGCCGGCGGTGCCCGACAGGGTGGTCGGTAGCATCGAGGCAGCCCGGGGGCTCGGTGAGGCCACGGACCCCCCCTCCCTCCCCCAAAAAGCAGCCGTGTCCCATCTGTTTTTCTCTGTCCCATCCTCCCCCTGCCACCCGTGCCGGGATCAGGCCGTGACTCACGGGGATTACACCAGTAAAACCCCAGATTATACTAATGACGTCGACAGATGAAACCTCAACACTCGTCCCCAGTGAAACCCCCGCAGCCAGGGACCCCCCCACCCCCCTCAATTGCTGCCGGGGGAGGCCCCAAGGCCAAAGCTATGGTACCCACCTGGTCATCGTGTCCCCTACACCCCGTTTGGCTCTCCCAGCCCCTGGGATGTCTGGGGGACACAGGGCAGCATCTGCTTTCATATCCCAGTAGCATACTGGTTTTACTGGCGGGGGGGTGCCTCCATCATCCCTTCCCTCCCCAGGTGACGTGCGAAACGGTGACGGACCAGGATGACTCAGGTCGGTTTAGCCCAGAGGGATGTGGGGGAAAAACATCTCCCAGGGGTTCTCCCAGGCTTTTTTGGGGGGGGCTGTGCCCCGTGCTCCCCCCTGCCCCCCCCCAGCACCCCACAACGGCCAAAAGCTGGGCGAAAGAGGGGGGGATGTCACCCCTAACCTGACCCTGCCACCCACTTCTAGTGAACTGCTCCCTGGAAAGGGATGGCACCTTTGAGGTCCAGCTCCGGCACAAGCTCCCCCACTGGAGCAGCTACTGGAGTGACTGGAGCAGCTCCATCTTCGTTCCTGAAGGTGAAGAAGAGGAGAGGAAGCGGGTGGGATCCCAACAGCTCCCAAAAATTCCGATAGCCCAGCCCTGGCTCATTCCTCTTGCAGAAATCCTGGAGAGCCCGGAGCTGAGCTACCAGCTGGGAGAACTGGGGAGAGACGGGCAGCGGGTGCTGAGGTTGGGCTGGCAGGTAGGGTGACATCCCTGGGGACCCTCCTGGGTGTCCCCCCCACCATTTCACCCCCTTCTCCTCCCCCCCACCATTTCACCCCCTTCTCCTTCCCCCAGCGAGCCCCCGAGGGGCAGGGAAACGTCACCTACACCCTGCACACCCACATGCTGGCGTGTCATTGCGCCGGGCTGGCCGAGGAGGACACGGTGGAGCTGGGGATGGAGGTGACATCACACAACCTCACCCTCTCGGGGGCAGAGTACGAAATCCTGCTGACAGCGGCCAACGCCGCCGGGACGGGGCCAGCACAGAAGGTCCATGTGCCAGCAGAGCAGCACGCAGGTATCAGCCCCACGGGAGGGATGGAGATCCTGGTGACCTCCAGGACCACCTGCTGACCACCCCTTGCATTCCCCGTTTTCACCCCAGATCTCAGCTTCGAGGACATCAGCGTGGCCGGCGACACCCTGACGGCGCGGTGGGAAGCCCCGAGCCCTGGCTCCTTCTACTGCTTCGAGCAGCAGCCGTGGGGGCAGAGAGCCCCAAAACGGGGGCAGAGAGCCTCAAAACGGGGCGTTTGCACCCAACGGGACTTCCCTGCCAAGAGCATCCACGTGGAGACAGGCGAGGGAGCGCTCCGAGCCCCCCAACTCATCCTGCCCAAGCCCGTGGGCACCAAAGCCATCCAGTTCTCCACCGGTGACACGAATCAGGTGAGACACAAGGGGCAGGAGGGGCCGGATCCTGCCCCCCAGCAGGTGCCCACGTGTTACCTCCTGGCCGTGCACGGCTGGTCCCTGGCACGGGGCTGGTCCACCTTCGCCCTGCAGCATCGCTACGTCAGCAACGGTACGTAGGGAAACACGCAGCATCCTCCCCTAAACCCCCACTTTAACTGAAAAAAAAAAAAAAAAAGGGGGGGTTCCCAAAATGCTCCTTACCCCAATTTTATTTTTTATTTTGCACACACACCCCCTACCTCCCCACTGCCTCCACCATCACCCACAGACTCGCTGGACGTCAACGTCAACGCCAGCGCCGGAGATGCCACCATCACCCTCCAGTGGAGCCCGTCCCCTCGTGCCACCTGCCCCGGGGCTCTGGCCAAATATCTCATCTGCCACGCTGCCAAAGGGGACAATGTGACCTGTGAGTGGGACCCCTCGTCCCCTGTGGGGCAGGAGGAGGGTGGGCTACTTGCCGGGCTACCTCCAGCTCCTTGTGGTTTGCCCAGATGCCGAAGCCGATGCCGCAGCCTCGAGTTTCACCCTCCAAAACCTCCGGCCGGGCACAACCTACAGCCTGGGCGTTTGGGAGGTGCCAACTGAGAGCAGGGGGACCTGCAACGCTTGGTGGCACTTCCAGACCAAGGCGCTGGGTAATGACCGGAGACCCCGTCCCCTCCCCACGGGTTACTCACCCTCACCCCAAAACAGCTCCGGTGTCCCAAGCCGGGTGCTGGGGACAGAAATGCCACCACCCAGCCATGCCCGTCCCCAGGAACAGTGTGGAAATCCAACTTGACCTTCCTGGGCATCTTGCTTGCTCTCCCTGCCGTGGTCATCATCTACCAGCTGAGCAAAAAGAGGTGACAGCGGTACCCTTGCCCCCCTGC